ACCTCAAAGATATTAATCACCTTAATTCATTTTTCTTTACACCAATAACTGAGGATGAAGTAGAACGTGAAATCGTCATGACGCCTCATAATAAATCTTATGGTCTTTATTCATTACCTGTAAGTATTCTTAAATGTGCTAAACACATATTAAARAAACCTTTAGCTGAAATATTTAACACTTCCTTGGCACAAGGGAAATTTCCTTCCAAATTAAAAACAGCAAAAGTCATTCCTATCTATAAAGCTGATGATGAGACAGATCCASACAACTATCGACCAATTTCTCTCTTATCAAATATCAATCGCATCTTCGAAAAGTTGACATACAACCGTCTCATAAAGTACATTGATAAACATAAAATATTAGTAAATTCCCAATATGGTTTTAGGGCTAAATCTTCTACAAGCCATGCCATCCTTGACATAATTGAAACTATTCAACAAAATATGGATAACAAACTTTATTCATGTACTATCTTTATTGACCTCAAGAAAGCATTTKATACAGTTGACCATTCGATTTTACTCAAAAAACTCTATTGTTATGGAATAAGAGGATTAACTAATAACTGGTTTGAATCATACCTCTTGAACAGAACACAGACCACAGAGATAAATGGACTTAAAAGCTTGAAAGAACCTAACCCATATGGCGTACCACAAGGCTCTGTATTGGGACCACTATTATTTCTTCTATACATCAACGATATCACAAAAGCCTCCTCTAAGCTTAAGTTCTTCCTCTTCGCTGACGACACTAACTTACTCTATGCTAATAAAAACCTTAATACACTCGATCTTTCCTGAAGACAGAATATCCTTGATGAAGAATTTCAGAGTCGTATATAGAATCGTTAAACCATGTCTCGTTGGCACAAACAATGTCAGCGTCCTCTGCATAGACGAGGTCTTGAAATCGGTGCAAGTTATAGGCGAACACAGATCTTCCTTTTGAATCTTTGGCGTCATTAAAACTCTTTAAGTTAAGTGTATAAGGCGCTGGCCTATATTTGAAGGGCGCTTGCCCATACATAAGTATTGTGGGCACTGGCCTATGTTCATGTTAAGTTAAGRCGCTGGCCTATTTGAAGGGCGCTTGCCCGTTTGATATGATTGATTATTAAAAAGGCTTGATTACTTTGAGGGCGATTGCCTTATTAGTCAATGTACATGTATAAAGCAAGTACCTGAGGTTTGTCTAGTTGAGTTGAAAGGGTCATGCATTTATTTTGTTTAATTTTCTATTCAATTCACCATTTGTATGTTTCAGATGTTCCAAAATTCCCATCTTTGGAAGAAGCTACCTTGTGGCGCAAGGCCTGAGTTAAAACCATTTATTTCGCAATTGACTAAATCCAAGGCTAGTTCTACTTCACTTAGTCAGTGCGTGGTGTGTGGCTTTTGGCATGAACCCCGTTCCTCCTCTCGACGTTCCGACGGTGCTTGCTTATCTGGCTAAGGTTTATAGGGATTCCAATTCGTATAGTACGTTAGTTTTAGTTCATGCCGCTTTGAAGTGGTTCCATTCTTTCCTACCAGAGCTTTGCAGTAATCCACTTGATAGTCCCGTGTGCACTAATCTTCTGGAGTCAGCGAAAAGGTCGAAGCCACCGGTTCAAAAGAAACGTCCATTGACAGAGAATATGATCAAACAAATCGTTGATAAGTATACTGGGCCAGCAGCTAATCTTAAAGACCTTCGTTTAGCATGTTTTTGTGTTTTAGGCTTTGCTGGYTTTTTTCGCTATGACGAGCTTAGCAATATTCATCCTGTTCATATGGAATTTTTCWSTAATTTCCTTAAAATTTTTGTACCTAAGGCTAAGAACGATGTTTATAGGGAGGGTAATTTTGTCTATATATCACGTTTAAACAATTCATATTGTCCTGTTTCTCTAGTAGAAAGATACATGCAAGAGACTGATATCAATCCTTCAAGTACTGATCTTTTATTTAGGAGGCTAAGGTTCTTTAAGTCATCAAATTCTTATAGGTTGTGTTCTTCCAAGTGGTCTTATTCTGCATGTCTCCAGTCGTTTAAAGATTGTTTAACTACTCTAGGTTATGATTCCAAGCTTTATGGTTTGCATAGTTTGCGTTTGGGCGGAGCCTCGTCTGCAGTGAGAAATAACCCCAACTTGTCTGAGAGATTACTTAAGTTTCATGGTCGTTGGAAAAGTGACACGGCCAAGGACATGTATATTCTAGAAGATACTGCCAATGGACTTGCCATATCAAATAATTTAGGTCTTTGATCAGCCTTATGTTATTCATTGTATTGTAACGATCTAATAAATTGTTGTAAATGGACTGCCTGAGCATCCAACCATCATTTGTTGTGTTGTTGTATTTAGACGGAATTTAGGTCGAAAATAATTCACGTTTGTTTGAGCCTGCGAATTAGAACGTAAGATCTTTTTAGACTTTTTCGTTCTCGCACGCTTTACGTCCCACTTGTATCATACGCCATATTGGAATTTGTCACGTGATCTGSTAAGGCACAGGGTGACCAGTAATGCTAGTGCCCAGACTCTTTTCTGATGAAATTTTGAACGCCTGGTACATTTGTGAARCCCACGAAAACAAAACTATATTCAGAAAATTATAAGGCCATATAAGCATGTTTGGGTGCGTTTTTTGATCAAAAAAACATTAGTAGAAGGCAATTCATCTTAAAAAATGGTATAACACGGAAAAAAATCATGAATTATGCGCGATTATGCGCGATTTGGTAAATTATGCGGAAAGGGGGCAATTATGCGTGTCCTCATCCGCACATAATTCCGACATGCCTGCATTTATTCAAATTATTTCTTAATTGGACAGCATGGAGTCCAGTCCTATTATGTATAAAAATACAATATAAAACATTAATATATTTAGCATACTTTAAATTGCCATATCTTTTTTTCTTATTTTTCATTATTGAATAGTATAGCACCCCATTTTTATTTCACCTTTGTTGAGTAAATTCTATAGCAACTTGTAAGAATTGGATGATAATGATTAATTAAAAATAAAATATGCAGTAATTTTGTACTGCAACAATTACAGGTGTAATTTAAGTGCATGGAAACACTTAACAATGGAAAAGMATAACAAATTATATAATATAGTGTTTGTTACAGAAGAAAAGAGAAATTCGCACAATCCAGTACAATTGAGCCCTTTTTAGTCGGACTAGCCGATGGCTAGGTCGRCTTAAGTTTTACCTTTTAACCAATCTATCTGTGTGTCATGTCGYGTTTGGACCACCGGAAGTTAAGAATTTAATAATTAGCTATTGGGTTGGCTGTGTTATTACCTTACCGGAAGCTCAATCGATCTCAATCCTATAGATGTACGAATATCGTTAGTAAATGTTATATGTTACTTGGGCTTTATATGACAAAAAAAGTATTAGTTTACAAATGTGGTATCTGTGATCTCATCGGAATGCRTCAGTCTAGGCATCATAAGTACGCGCATGTGAAGATCGCTTGGTGCTTCGAGTAATATGCTCACGAAATTAAATCAATGGCCTTTCTAGCGTTAGGCAATCTTATGTGGGCAAAGATTTCAAATTAGAACAAGAAGAAACATTTTTTCAATAACAAAAAGGCGAGTTTAATGATTTTATAGTATCATTTACTTTGTAAAGTATTTTCT